TTTAACTGATATTGTCCAAGTAACTTATGATAGATTTTATACACTGAGGAATTGAAATTTATTGAATAGATTAAATTGAGATATGTCATTAAAAGTTGTACAGTTGTTTGAAGAAAAGAATAAACAATAGAAGTAATAATATAAATAAATAGTCACACTGCCTAAATTCATTTTGTATTGCTTGTTTGAATCTTCTCATTGATGTTTAGGACTGTGATTAATCAATCTCTTATTGATATATGTGCATCTTGTGAGGATCGCCTCGATAGTGCCTTAGGTCACAAGCATTATAAACAGCAATGAATGGTAGTGGCTAGCAGTGGAATCAAGGATGCGCATCTCGTCCTATTTGGGACTCATCAGCTGGATGTAATGTCATCCTAGAGTTGATGTTCACTCTGAGACTCGTATCCAATACTATTCGCCTCAACTCTGGGATGCAGGTACATTCAGTCGAAGAGTCTCAAATAGGACGGAACGTGTATCCTGGATTCCACTGCTGGCCACCATTAATCTCTGTTTATAATCACACTGGTTAAATATTTAAGTACATAACCTTTCAAAATGGATAGAGTAGCAATCGATCAGATTAAGTTCATAATAAATTAGAGACATTTAGGAAATACCTATTAATGGTCATTATAAACCTCATAGTTTAATGAATATTGTGTTGTTATTTAAAGTAATAGGTAATCAATTTAACTATCAATGTGAACATCAACTCAGGAATCATATAACTACAACTGTCGAATCCTACATCGGATGAACACATGCGCTCTGAATCCTACTTTAAGTTACAAGCTAGATAGACCAAAAATATGTTTAGGAACGAGTATTTACTTTATCGATCGTTTATACTGGATTCATTTATAATTTAAAAAATTCACTAATTGTGCGTGCGCTGAAGTCATTCGAGATGCTCTCAATGTTCTGTTAGTGTACTATACTCTGTACTTTCGAACATTTTTCGTTCGTTTACTAGATAAATGTTGTATACTAAAGTGTGATTTTTACTTAAGATATCATTTCAATCCTAAACTTTTAAAACTTTTGGGTTTCCTAATCGGTATTATGGATTGTCTTACAGTGATGTTCAAATAATTATAGATAATGTCAAAGGTTTATCATGAAATTCTTAGTGAAAATTACACTCCAATATCCATCATTCACCTACTAAATAAAAGGAAAAATGACCAAAAGTACTTGATATAGCATACTTATTGAACAATAAAGACGTTACCAATAACCTCAGTCATGTATGTGTATGCCAAATATTCATTTTCATTCTTCTGTTCATTCATTCATTCCCAAACAATGTATGATATGAAGTAAGGATATGTAAGTTATTTTCATACTTGAAATCATGAGTCAATTAAAACTAGACCACCAAGGAAAACCTGGAAGCACTGTACGGCTGTTTCATCCTATTATGGGACTCCTCAGTAGTGCACACCCACGATCCCGCTCTGGAGATTCGAACCCATGACCTACCAGTCTCGCACCAGAGCACTTGACCGATCGACTGAAGAGTCCCATAATAGGACGTTATCACAGTTCGCATTAATCAATCCAAAAGAAATTAATAAAACTGGAAAATATAAAAGTCGACATTCAATAAAATCAATTTACAGTTAAAAACATTGTAGGAAACAAATTTGTTTAAAGAAATAAATGCGATAAACGTTAATGTTATTAAGTCTCAGATCCACAGGAAAATGAAATACAAGAATAAGTTTGTAACATTTTGATTACTTATAAAGTATGCTAATACAAGTCCCCAACTATAAATCAGAATTATCCCATAGGTACTAACCAATAGATTTACCCACTACAAAACGACCAATTTCTCAGTTTCACTCTGTTAAATTTACCATGCATTTTACAGAACTGGATGGAGAATGCTGATGGACGGCCTATGCTCATGCACGAGGGTAACAAGCATAAGTAAGTAAGTAAGTAAGTAAGTATTTAAACTTTATTTGAATTTGTTGTATTCTAAAGGCCATATACTCTATTTAATTTGCCATTTCCATTTCCCTACGTGTAATTAACATAACTTTTTATTCCCATAAATCACTGACAGTACTCTAATTCTTTACAGTCGACTGAAGTTAGGCATGAATATTGCTGGAGGCCATTCCAGAGGTTAAGCACTTACTGTCAGAACTGAAGTCCATAGGTTTAATCCTAGGTGAGGTCAAGGATACATACTGCTAAGGAGTTCGATATTAGGATAAGAGGCCTGTTCAGTCCTCTCTAGATTTTAGTGGTCCCCTAACTTAAGTTGGCTTGTGATCTTTATAATATTTAATAACCTCTACAACCCCCCTATATTGATCATTATTTTCTATGGTATGTATTTTATCTCATATTCAGCTATCTTCTACTTCTAGATTTACACAATCATGAGATTTGGTCATGGTCATTTAATTTTGTGTTTCAACACTTAAAAAGCGGTTACTTCAGTGACTTGCATAACTTTGTACTGTTTATGTTGACTGTTCATCGGTATTTGTTGAAATCCTAGGACCATCTTGGGTTGTTTGTCTTAAGGGAATTTTCTGATATGCAGCGTTCAAAATTCAGGTTGGTAATACGTTATCAATCATAGTACTAGATTTAATTACATTTAGAACATAATTTGTGACATTCGAATGTGTTTTAAAGCAATTAGTCCCTTTGATAAATTTCGATAATGTAATAAGAAGGCGAAGATATTATTATTATTATTATCTTTGTCTATTCTTACCCCCCGATTTCCAGTCTAGTTGACCTTTTATTTTTATATATAACTGTTCTTAACAAGTATATGTGTGATCAGATTGTTCGAAATGTATTGCGCTAATATCTCATCACATAGTTCTGATAATCTTAGTCTTCTTATTACATTATCGAAATATGTGTTTGCCATTTATATGTTCTGAATCACGCGCAACAAACTACTCTCGTTGGTATTATCGAAAACATTTAACACTATCATTATTTACATATCTATCGTATGTACGTTATTCTCTTTTTATTTTAGGAAACTAAGGAATTTTTGAATAAAGAGACAAGAGACAAGAGATTGAGATTACAAAGAGAAGCTTTATTTCCAAGGTTTAGGTACAGAAGAAAATGGTATCTATAGGTTTATTTGATAAACCTGATATTCTGGAAACTTCTAGAAGCAAAACAGTTAATTATCCATTCAGAGTATAACATATCAACCATCGATCTTTTGTAAATTTTAGGAAAATAGGATTTTCCCATTGATGTTTAGGACTGACCACTTTTTGGCATATGTGAGTCCTGTGAGAATCACCTCCATACTGTTTGTGAATCGCAAGTATTTTAAGCAAAGATGGATGTTGGCTAGTAGTGAAATCTATCAGTGGGAAGAGCTAACACAACGATTATATATGAATTGAAATTGAAATTAACCCCATTGCACTAGCCAGTGGCTATGTGAACTGAATAGCTGAGCGGATAACGTGTTGACGTTTGAATCGAACGGTAGTGTGGTCGAGTGACAGAGTGAACATCAACTCTGAGATGCAGGTACGTTCAGCAGAAGAGTCTCGAATAGGATGAAACGCACATCCTCGATTCTACTGCTAGCCACCATCCATCTCTTATTAAGGTGATCAGTTTATAATGCTTTCTTTCTGTATACAATCATTAAATTTAATATTCTTGATGGTAATGGTCTATAAAATTTGAAACAAAATGTCATTCGTTGATTATTGTTTATTTCCAATCCTTTTGATATATATCCGATTATTATCCAATTATCCAATTATTATACATTAACGATCTGTGGATTATACTTATAGACATAACTTCCTTTAAGACAGGATTTTTTAGAAGTATATTCAACAACACCAAAGATCCCCTCCTCTTAATGGACTATTAGGAATACACATAACCTTATATTAAAGTTCTTTCTTTATCAAAATTAATAATAACAACAAAGAATTCGCAAATATTTAAAATTATCTTTTTATTTGATTATTACAAACTCATAGTTTTACCAAACCTTTTGAGTTACAAATCTAATGCATATTCTTCACTTGTCAATAATAATATCATCACTATTACTGAGACCGGTGTGGCCGTTGTGAACGAAAACACAGGTGGTGTTATAATTCCCTTATTGCGACCCAGTTACTGCTATTGCTTAGTAGTCTTGAACACTACTTAACTCGGCACCGAATACATATGCGCCACATACCACGTATGTGTATCGACATAAGTAGCATACACCACATGGTATGTTGTACTTCAAACGGGTGTTATTTCAAGAGTTTTTACTAATGTCTAATTATAAATGACTTGACGACATCATTTCATTACATAAGTAATAACATTCTTGAAAGCGTGAATCAATTGAAGCTAGACCACTATGGAAAACCTGGAAACAATGGACGGCCATTTCATCCTATTATTGGACTCCTCAGCAGTGCTCATTCACGATCCCGCCTCACGAGATTCGAAACCAGGACCTACCAGTCTCGCGCCAGAGCCCTTAACCGATAGACTACTGAGCCGGCATCCGGCAATGACCAGTGGAGTTCAACCAAGTCTGTCGTAGAGATATCAACTCACTTAAGACAATTGGTGAACGATTACTCAAACATCGTGGATTGGTTGAAGTTAGACATTAAGGCCGTTGGATGACGGCTCAGTGGTCTATCGGTTAAGGGCTCTGGCGCGAGACTGGTAGGTCCTGGTTTCGAATCTCGTAAGGCGGGATCGTGAACGAGCACTGCTGAGGAGTCCCATAAAAGGACGAAACGGCCGTCCATTGTTTCCAGGTTTTCCATAGTGGTCTAGCTTCAATTGATTCACGCTTTCAACTATGAAAATTTAAAAATTTGTTTACTTATAAGTAGTAAAACGTTAAACAACAATATGTTTCCCAATAGAATTTCTTATTACATAATGTTATTCATCAGTTCACTAATTACATCATTAATCAGCCTAAATTATACATAATAGTTCTTCAACATGTTAATAGTTTAAATATGATAAATATAACGAATTGTCCAATTGATCATTGACATATTCATAAATGATTTCATATGTTTCAATTGTAATGGATCTAAAATAAGTTCTTTATCTTCCAGTGTTACAGAAATTTCAGAGGAATAAACCGCAGAAATAATAAATTGATAATTGAAACATTTCATAATTTGTTGATATGAATTCTTATTATTCATTGAATCCTTTGATAGGTTGCTTTCAAATTGAAGTAATAGTGTCCCATGTTGTAATTGTCTATGACAATCTAAATATACCTATTTGAATTCAATGAGGGAAGTGAAAGAGTAGAAAGAAAAAAAAGGGAGTGAAATGAAGGGTAAATACGATACACAATGTGTTTGATTACAGTTAACAGATTATTTTACAAAAGGATAATCAACTGGAATCTATATTAAGCATTAGATTCACTAGCTCAGAGAATAAAACTCCATCAAAATCATCCACCTGAGCTACAGATCTTCTTTACCATCTCAAAATATAGTGTATTGATAATCTGTACGAGCGTACACGAACCAAAACTGGAACCGCCGACGACATATTCCGTTATGATCCGAATAATCATCATATGCTCATTATTACAATAATGTCATATCATCATCTAACGTGGAATTATTATTTTTGTTTGTATTGACATTAAACTATGACATTTACGCAGTCGAATCACTAATCGAAGAGATTATAATGATATGGACATTACACGTTATGATATTCCAAACTCACTGGATTATTTTTATTATCCAATGAGGAAACATTTTCCTGCTTCAAGTGAGTTCGTTCCATTTTTTTCCATGTCATTTTCGGTCTAATATTACACTATCATAGACATAAGTTTGGAGTCATACTCCCGATAGTAAGAACTTGTGTTCTCGACGCAACTAATGTTCATTCATCTCATTGGTACGTAGTAATCGTCGATTACTACACTTTCAGCGACAACCTAAACCGAACTTCCGCAACTTTTGGTTCCACGATTATCCCAACTTTAATGTCTATACACAAATCAAGTATTCGACGCCGCATTACCAGCCATCTCCACTACGTGTCATGTATGCTTCTCTCGCTAACATTTGATTATATGCTCACAGCTTACTGGTCTTCATCATTTATCAATAAAAATATAGTTGCCTCTTCCCTTTGTCTTCTGACTCTATACACCGTTAAGATTGGTATTATAACGGTTATCGAAGTGAACTATTAATGAAGCACGGCACTACAATAGAAAACAAACTAATAATGAAGTAGAATGTAATAAGATTCATGATATCCAAATGTTATAGCCTTATAAACGAGTGGGATATCATTGCTAAAATTATATTTTGGAGATTTTTCAGTTACTTTGGAGTTAATTTGCTTTATCAGATGATATTAGATAGAGAGTAGTTGAAAAATAGAGAGCAGTGAATTACTATTTTATTTAGTTGTTATGACCCGCTACTACTAGACATCTATGAACTCACCCTGTGATCAAAACACAGGCATCCAAGTTTTATGGTCAGTAGGACATTTTTAAACTGTTCAGTTGGAAATGAATGGTTCACATAAATTTCGAATTCAGATATCAGTTATCGTTTTATTCAAATTGGTGGAATTTCATTCTCTGATCTGAATGGTTAAATTATAGAGCTTTCATTGTGCTTTTAAACAAAGTTATCAGTTTAAACTTTATGATTTGATTGACTCCATACTTCACAATGGTCTGGATTTATAAAATGTAAATTATTGTATCTTGAATTGATGACTAAACTATATTGCTCTAGCCATTAGACCTGAAAGTCTTGGATATGTAATATTCACGAGTTTTGTGGGGGTAAATCAATTCAACTGTTTAATTTACGTTTATTCTTAATAGCCCTCCGATTTATATCATTACTAGTTGAAGTTAATTCCAATTATTTAAGAGTATTTGTAATAGGACGAAACGGCCATCCAGTGCTTTCAGGTTTTCCATGATGGTCTAGCTTCAATTGACTCATGACTTCAACTACATAAATTTACTAAAATCTCCACAAAACCCCCTTCTGATAATGATCATATGCTCACTAGTGATTGACTCCATGAGGTATTTCCTGAAGTTTTAGTGAGAAGCAGTAACCAATGGAGTTCTACCAGGTCTGTTGGGAGATATCAACTCACTGAAGACATTGATGAATGGTTGCTCAATTTCGTTTATTCGTAATAATTACATTGTATCACATTTTAAACAAATTATTTCATTTGAATATACTGTGTGTAGCCATATTTTTTTTTAGAAAAAAAATATTAGATTATGTACAGCCCCCTGCCTATGGTTTATTAATATGACTACTTTCATTAGTACATATTACGTAGTATTTATTCTAGTGATTTAAACCTATAAATAGAAAAAAAGTAATAAATTACTTAAATCACTTATCCAGCACAGAATTTTTTGATTTTATGAATTAACTATCGAAGGAAATTAAAGGCTTGTCAAACAGGCTATTTACCAAATCAGTTGTACGTTAGCTCTGTGTTTTCATTAGCGTTTAGACTAAGTCTTCTATTTATAGGGCTATTAATCACTTAATTCGTATCTATAGTTTACCTGATTCTTTGATAGCAAGCTATTTATCTAAAGTTTTTTGAATAAATTGAATACTTACAACAGAGAAAATGTTTTTCATGAAGGTAACTGATATGTTTTAAAATAAATTCTAAGTAATTGTTATGGTCCGATAAGGATAATGAATGGCAACTTTGGGATCTATTTATGAACCAATATTATGCATATATTTTTTATTGTATAATTGCTAAATAACTAAACTATTCATATTCGTGTCCCCCTTATTATAAGCTTTATTTTGAACTATAAACTATTGTTATACGATTTACCATTCCTGAGTTCTCCCTAGTCTATTGATTCCTGCCTTCCACATTCACAGCCATATTTGGCTGAATCTTGTACATATGTTATTTTCTATTTTATTGGTATGATGCGATCTGTTTCTTTGGTATATAAACTCAGTATGTTTGAAATATGATGATTCATACCGCAGAGGATGTTCTGGACTTAACTGGCTGGGCTAGACAGAAAGCAGGACCGATACGTATTCTAGACTGCTCGTACGGTTTCCATGTGTCACTGTTCTAATCAATAATTCGCTGCTCTCTAATTGGCGGTCTCATCACGTCATACGTTAACAAGGCATCCACTCGGTCACAAGTTATAAGAGTAATATAAATCTAAACTTGAAGGTAATTTAGTTTCTTTTGTCTTCAAATATCTAATATCAAAATATACTCTTCTTTATCATGTTACTTTATTCAATTCTATTTCAAAGTTTAATGAGACAGACTAACTTTGATATTTTTAATTTTTTGATTATTCAACCATATCTGATATGTTTCAGGACCTGTAAAAACAAAGTAAAACAAAAGTTACTTTGAACAAGAAAATTTTTCTTATTAACAACAACAAAAATGTTATAGTGTGGCTCCTTAAGATTTTATAAAACTGAAATGTATATTTCACCATTGTGGTGTGGTCTACTTATATCCATATAAGTAGCATATGGTGTGATGTTCAGACACAGAATGTATTTTGGCAGAAGACCGGTAAGGAAAGAACCGAAAGGGAACACAATAGGTATGAAAATGCACGAACAATGAAATCAGAGAAGACGGACTGATATTTGCAGAAGGAACAGTGAAGATTGAGACAATTGATGGTTATTTTGCAAATTAACTGTTTTGCTGTATGGTTATCAGAATTTAGTGAGATAGTCTGCAATTTGTGCTTCGATACATTCGATTGTCCCCAACCAGTGTTTTGTTCACTGCACTTTCACTACTGAAATGAGCGAAAACATAGGTGAGGATAACCAAAATATTGTTATACAAAATTACAAAGTTCTTTGGTAAAATGTGAAAATCATACGTTCAATACTTAATTTGAAAATCTTCCATCAATTGTCTTAAACTTCATTGTCATAATTATTACTCTCTGCTCCCGTTCTCTTCGATTTGTTCTTCCCAACCTTCTGCTGGCATGCATTCGATTTCTGATTGATGTTATATACTGTTTGCGCCGGTCAACATAAGTAGCATATGCTATACTTATACTACTTATCACATCACTACTATTACCACTGCCAATATTACTACTACTACTACTACTAATACTACTACTACTACTACTACTACTAATACTACTACTACTACTACTACGACTACGATTCACATTACTACTAGTACCAAGCTATAAGGTTATACTAAATATTCAATGATTATATTACTTACATATAATAATTTCATTTAATTTATTGTTAATATACAAATTCCAAATAAGAAGTCCATTTACATTAACTGGGTAGAAAGTCTCTGAGATTCTAAATGAATTATAACAAAACATAAATATAACAGTTTGAAATGATCGCTAATTGTATATTAAAAAAATATTAACAATACACTATAAGGGGGTTTTCTGTAGAGATTTTAAGTAATTTTTATACGTACTTGAAATCATGAGTCAATTGAAGTTAGACCACCAGGGAAAACCTGGAAGCACTAAACAGCCGTTTCGTCCTATTGTGGAACTCCTCAATAGTGCTCATCCACTATCCCGCTCTCGAGATTCGAACCCAAGGCTTACCAGTCTCGCGCCAGAGCACTTGACCGATAGACCATTGAGCCGGCATCCAATGGTGTTAATGTCTAACTTCAATTAATCCAAGAATTTGAGCAACCATTTCACCAATGTCTTCAGTGAGTTGATATCTCCCAACAGACCTGGTTGAACTCCACTGGTTACTGCTTCTCACTAGAACTCCAAGAAATACCTCCTGGATTCGAATCTCGCGGGCGCGGGATTGTGAATGCATACTGTTGAGGAGTCCCACAACAGGACGAAACGGCCGTCCAGTGCTTCCAGGTTTTCTACGGTGGTCTAGCTTCAATGGACTCATGATTCCAAGTATATATAAAAAATACACTATAAGTTATATTTGTTAGAAAATAAAATTGATAAACAATGAAAATGATTAGAATTTAAAGTAAGTCACAGTAACTATAATTTATTCATTTGGGAATTATAAAACGAACAAAAAGGCAATTTCTCTTATTGCATCATTCTTGAATAGATATCTAAGTGGTATGCTGTTAAGTGTTCGGAAATGTCTGACAGGATATCTTATATTTAGGTTTCGTGTTCATTGGCACTCGTCAGTGATGTGCATCTAAAATCTTGAGGAAAATGATGTTTCTAGGTTGACCTAGACCTAGATCATCCAGTTTCACGGTCGGAGATATTACAACTGAGCTAATTAGACAATAATAAAGCAACATACAGGGTTCTCTGCTGACTGCCTCTAACCACCTAATATCAGTACATATTGCATGAGATGTCAAGTCATTTAAACTATTCACCACATTCCAACTTGATCGCTAGAATTCATTTAGCATTTAGACAACTAGGCACATATGACGTTGGCCACTGCTTAGTGATTAGCCAGTGTATGTACGTGGCTTTCTTGTAATGTTTTGCATGATTACAGCAGTAATTTCATCAACAGGTATCTGAAAAATTAATTTACACCCTAAATAGTTTTATTATTATTATTATTAGCTTGATTCAATATTATATTATTTGGTACAAAATCGAATTCTCAGCATAAAGTATTTCAACATGTTTACGCTTCTTATTTCTTCGTTGCTCCTGATGATAAACATTCAGTGATCGCCAGTTGGATGTCAGCAGTTCAGTCAATCGACTTATGGATAATGTATATTCTTTTTGCTGCATGTTCCCAGCAAACACGACATCTTTGATTAGGCCTTTTGTAACCTTTACAGCGAAAGGTTGTACAGTTTTCAGAAACGCACCGGAATAGGTTGTGTGCTTAATAACCATAATGATGTATTAAAACAAACAATATTAGATAACTTGTTGAAATATACAGATGACGGGAAACAGGTAGCCCAGATGTTTAAGCAGGCCGCCCACTTTTCATATGTGCCTAGTTGTCTAAATGCTAAATGAATTCTAGCGATCAATTATGGAATGTCGGTTTAAGTTTCAGAAAATCTGAAAGATTTAGTCGTCTTTAAGAAATACAGCTAAATAACCCTGATAAAAAGAAGTCCAACTGCTTGTCTGATATCTGGATTACTTTGCCTCTGAAAAATCTTCATATTAGTGAGAATGATTGGCAACTATAGTTTACGTATAAGAACTCTCGTCTAAATTAGAGCGAATAGTTTCACAGCATTTGAGCGCCGAGTTGATGTAAGACATTAAATAGGGATAATATATTTGTAAAATCTCAGCGTAGTTTGATAATCTATATACACTAATCAGTCGTTAAGTAGTAACTGGTTTCATACTTAGTCCCTAACACTGAATAATTTCCATAGACTACGTTGGAATGTGGTCCAATCAGTTCATTTGTGACGAGTCTGACAACATCAGTGAATGATGTCAGTCTAAATCCAATGATATGTTTCCATTCTGTCAAGATTGTAGATAAGTCTTTCTGAAGAGTGCTAACTATCAGAAAGCTTAGGGCTTCTTGACTGCTATTATTATTTTTTCGTTGTTTAGAAGTTTATCTATTTCAAAAGGATTCCAACTATCTTTTTAATCAAATTTCACAGACATAATATATTCATATTACTCGTAAGCAAGCGTATTCTTCAATATAAAGTGAGTATATGATCGAAGGTCATAAAGACTTCATTTTGCAAGATCTTCAAAACATCAGTCCTTTTCGCCATTAAAATAATCTCTGTTTGTGGCAACACACTTATCATACCTCTTTCGCTATCACATAAAATATCCGTGGTAGTCCTTAAAAATCTAAGTCTTCAATCGTTTTGTCGTACCATGCTCTATTGTGCCTCTAAGCCCTTTACTAGAATTAAGTACCCATATGGTTTCTTAGAATTTTATTAATCATCAATCAACTAGACAGAAAATAGGCGTTCGGAAGGCAAAAGAGATGCTACACGTTTATATTTTCATCAATACAGGAAGTATACAGTGGTCCTGACCTTTGATCGTTCTTATAGAATTCATGAATACAAATGAGGCTTTTGATTCGCCAGGAAAATACCCTATAAGTCTATACTATATTTGTTTGATCAGACTTCAATATTTCATGAGGTTTATGGGTTTTTCTTCTGAGTTTCGTTGGTAATCTGATGTGTCATTGTTTAGTTCTAGTAATTATTGAAAAAACTGAAAAAAGTACATACATGAAACAAATTTCATAAAATACCTTAGTTGCTGTCCATCAGTATTGGAAACATCTACTATTGAATGATCGAAATGAGATTTCAGTTCATTTAGATCATTCACGGCTTGAAAATCATCGTTACAATTGAATGAATCAGAAAGTTTGTTTTCTTCTAACCTTAAAGGACTGGATAACTGTTGAAAATTATCTGACAATTTATATCGACTTTCTTGTTTAGATTTTATATCATTATGATTTATTTGTCTACGTGTATGCGCTAGAAGAAGAACAATTCTGGACATAGTCTGTGAGATAGAATATTGGGAAACCAAAAAGAAACATTTATATGAAGGGTTATAAAATCGTTGCATATTGAAGTTAATCGAGGTAAGACAATAGACAGTTTGAAAACAGCTTTGACTTAAATCAATGAAAACCAACTAACACTGGATATCTATTTTGTCCAAAGTTCAGAACCACTTTTCCTTAGTGTACACATACATAACCTTAAGGTCTTGAGGATAATACGTTCTTTAAAATAATTAAATTAATTTATTCGTAATATTACGTCATAATCATCCAGTCAAAGGGTTGTCCCAAGCTAGGATCCCTTTATTTTTTATAACTACCTGGTTAATGTCGATTGTGAACGGATACTATCTTCATACTAATCCGATCTCCGAAAACCAGTGGCTTCGAAATGGATTTCCAAAATCTCGTTAAGAAACTGTAGTAGCTGAGGTTCAGTGAGGTTAGACAGTAAACAAGGTATAATCGATTATACTTGATGAATATCATGGTATTTAACGAAATATCAAGTGATGGAAATTTAAAACACTGAATCTAAACTCAGTAGTTTATAGGTAATGTGGTTGTCGTCAGACATAAATGTCCCGTATTCAATCCTACATGTAGGGTTGTAGATGCCTATTATTGAAGATTTCTAAACCAGGTCTAAACAAATATTCGATAACTTCCTAATTTTCAGTAATATTCTAATTAATATCAGTCTGAGGTTAATCATATCTCAATGTAGTTGAAAATTTTCTATGAAAATTTATTCCTTTTGTAGGTTGTATTTGTTACAGACTAGACTTAATTGAGATACATCTGAAAAACAGGAACCACTGATCAGTTGTTTGATTTTAGTATATAAATCCGCATCGGGAACTGAATACAGGGCCTCCAAGTCTCCTGGGGGAATACTTAGTTATTAAAACCACTCAGTCGGAATCCAGTGGTGTAAAGAGAATATAAGGAAATTGTAATTCGAATCACTCCATAGTTGAACCCGGAATAGAAAATAGGTGACAAGTTTTACTTCGAAGGTTATGTAGTATACAGAAAATAAAGGCATTTACAAGAACATTAATGTCTTTGAGATAGTAGAAGTCTATAGAGAACATGTAAAAAAATGTTAAAAAATGATCTTGAAGGTTGGTCATTCAGGATTCAGCAGTCATGGCATTATAACAAGAACTGATTTCTAATCTAGTTCTCTAAGAGAGATATGTCATGTCACGTTATACACTAAGTATTTATCATAGTGCATAATATTTCAATAAATTGGAACTTATCCAGGAATGAATCTGATTTAACTAATAACTGACCTTTGACAATAGTCACACCATGATTAACTTTAATTGAAATAATTACTAATTATATTTATATTATAGATCTTGTATATAGGTTAAATGATTCACAAAGAATAATCAGTCAGTTGATCACTAGCTTTTTCTATAATAAGTAACCTATTGATTTGAGTATTACAGTGAATCAAATGTACAAAATTAACTCTTTTTAATAGAAATTATCTTAAATAATTAAATTACTGATTTTATAGTGAATCAGAACACAAGCGGGGACACCATCGGATGCCGTCTCAGTGGTCTATCGGTTAAGTGAGACTGGTGTGAGACTGGTAAGTCCTGGGTTCGAGTCTCGTGAGGCGAGGTCGTGGATGCGCACTGCTGAGGAGTCCCACAATAGGACGAGACGGCCGTCCAGTGCTTCCAGGTTTTCCTTGGTGATCTAGCTTCAATTGACTCACGGTTTCAACTATGAAAATACTAAATTTCCACAAAAACCCCTTCTGATAATAATAATCATATGCTCACTAGTGACTGACTTCGAGAGGTAAATCCTGGAATTCTAGTGAGAAGCAGTAACCAGTGGAGTTCAAACCACGTCTGTTGTGAAATAGGAACTCACTGAAGACAATTGGTGAACGGTAGCTCAATTTCGTGGATCGGTTGAAGTTAGACATTAACACCGTTGGAGGCCGACTCATGATTTCAACTATGAAAATATTAAATCTCCACAAAACCCCTTCTGTTAACAATTGAATGTAGTTAAATACAAAATTACAGGAAATCTTAGTAAAATCTGAGAATCATATAGTAAATACTTCATTTGCAAAATGTTAATCAATCGTCTTAGACTTCATTGTTCTTTTGTTTTCACATCAATTATTCTTTGTTCTCGTTCTCTTCTTAACCTACCGCCACCAGGCATTTCACTTTCGATTGATGGTACATACTACTTATATCTATCGACATCAGTAGTGCACACCACAATTTGTCGTATTTATGCAATACGATTTGTTTAGTTATTCAGTAGATTAATAATTTTAAATAAATAAGAGGTAAAAAATCGGTCATTAGATTCCATTAAAATTTAATCAGTTAAGAATTTCAACTCTTATTTTCTATTCGAACAAAGGAGAAGAGAATATTAAATGTGAAAGTATTTAATCGGTAAGGCTTTTCTTTTACAAATAAGATTCAATGATCATTATGATAAACATTAATTTGTAAGTTATTTTTTGTGTGAAAACATCTATGCATATTCTGATCTGAACTTATCAATCTATGCAGTGCTATAAGATTAAACGATACTATTTGTCTGATCAAACTGTAATAATAATCGAATACTTAGCGTTTTAACTAGGTTGGTGGGTACGGAGGATCCACATACGGGATTCGAATACGATGATTCCAAAAAAAGCAGCGCACATGAGCCTTGGAATCTAAAGGGGACAAATGGCGTATGAACCTATTGTTGATCACAAGCTACCATGGAACTACATCTCCTAACGTCAGTTCACTGTATTGTGGATTAGATCTCTAGGTCTAAGTCTCAACTTGGACTCCTGGGTAGATTCTCGGCCCACATGCAAACTAAATGATGAGTACAATTAAAAATATATTCATTCTTTAATTCTAATTCTCGCAAATCATACTTAAAACTATTTTGTAATACTCGTCTTTATTTTACATTGTGTCACTTGTCTATTCTCTTTTATCCCCATTTTCTATATTCACTTATTCTTCAACTCATACATCAGCTTACTTATGGTAGAAACCCTGTACTATCTAAACGATCTCAAGTCACTGACTGATCGAAAGTCTAATGCTACCACTGAATGAGAATGCTCAAACAGTCTTTTTGAAGCCACATACACCGTTCAAAACTGCCTTCTTTCAACGTTCACACACAAATGCAGATAGGACAACACATAAAGTCGGCTGTCTTTAGAAAGTCTTGATATCGATGACCGTTGTCTATCCGAAACCCGTATTCAAGACTCTATTGAAGTACAACAAATTCGATCTCCATCTTTCGCTTCAAAAAGCTTGTTTCCGTACGTTTATCCAATGACCCTGTGACATCTTCATCTGGTTTTGCAGTGCTAAGGAAGCACTAATCGATTGGATCTGCATTAACAGTCGGTTATGTGCTGTTAGATTAGAAAGTTCCATCAGAATGAGAAGGAATCAGTATGAGAAACGATGTCTTTTCACCAACTCCGCCTATGTTCCAAAAGCAGCCCAGATGCGATCAGGGATGAGTTTCACCACCAGTTAATTGTTCTTCTACGGAAAGTGAGTTCGGCAGATATTGTAGTACTAACTAAACACTTGAATGCACAAGTAGGGTGTCTGGGCACAGAGGAGAACAGTTTAGATGTTTAATGAGGACCTGTTGGTCGCAGGTCAGATAACGGTGACCGCCTACTGAAACTGTGTGCAGTTCACATCTTGTTTATGGCTTGCACTAATTAATGGCACAGTCATCGCCGATATGTTACCTGGCACCCTCCTCCTAGATCTCAAGCCTGGACTCAGACTGATCACATTGCGATCAGATACGAGTGGAGTGGCTGTGTACAAGACTGCAGCCACTTTGGGAGTACTTATCTGGACTCTGATCATACCCTTGTTTGCGCTAATCTTACTTTACATTTCAGTCGCCAATAAATTCATCGTCCTAAGCAGATCGATGTCAGCAAATCGGTTGCAACTTCTGTTGCAACTAAATATTGAACCGAGCTAGGTTTGAGGCTAGCTACCATTTTATAGTAAAGCATAGATGAGCATTGGTTACATTGTATGAGCATTGTATGACGCAATGAAAACAGCAAGTAGAGTCGTTTGCGGCTTTGCGAAACGTTCGGCTTATAAGCACTGGGTTTCTTCAGGCTCCTTACAACTCACTGAGGCCCGTCTGTCTACTCCGGGTGACCGCGAGTTTGACTATAAACGAAAGCTGTTACGTAGCGAAATTGGGCAAAGCTTGCATAAGGACTGAGAAGCCTGTTGGTCGGAGCGTGCCAGTGAGTTAAAAGTAGCAGCTGCATCTGGTAACTACCGGAAGCTTTTTCAATTCATCTGAGTCACTGGCAGCAAGAAGTCTGGTGTGAATGGTCATTTTAGGGATAGAAAAATAATATTTATAGGTTTACGTACGGCCTTAATATTCTGAAACCTTCTGGAAATACTACAAAATTAGTATTAAAATCGGTAATTATCCAATCAGGATCTAACACATAGTCCATCATTTTTTAAGCTTTCTGGAAAGTTTATAACAAATGATTGGATGAAGTATTTTCATCCTTAACTCTCTAAAACTTTTTCCAGATACTGTCATGGGCTGCGAAGATGTTGCCTAACTTAAGTAAATCCATGATTATCCTTATTATCCTCATTTAATTAAACACAACGGATAATATCAATGTAGCTAGATCGTTAACTAACAAAACGATATTCAAATTCATTTGGTACTGTTTGTTTGAATCTTAACATTGATGTTTAGGGTTTCAATTGATCAGTTTCTTATTGACATATATGCATCCTGTGCGTATTGTCTCGATACTGCCTTAACTCACAAGCACTATAAACAAAGATGGATGGTGGTTAGCAATGGAATCCATGACACGCCTTTCTTCCTACTTGAGACTCGTCATCTGGAGGAACTGATTAGTCTCAGTCCTAAACATCAATAGGAAGATTCAAGTAAACAATATCAAGTGAATTTAAACTTTACCCCATTGCACAAGCAAGTGGCTCAGTGACTCAGTGGCTAAGTGGGTAAAACGATCACGTTTGAAGCGAACGGTACTGAGTTCGAATTATGGAGTGGACAGCGACTCTGGTACGTAGGTAAACCTAGCTAACGGGTCCCAAATAGGGCGAAACGTGAGTCCTGAATTCCACTGCCATTTACTATCTATCTTTGCTAAAAATGATATTCGAATTTTTGTGTTACCAAAAAAGCATTAAATTATATTTTCATATTTAACACTAGCGATGACAGTTATTACTTAACAGTTTACAGAATTGATTTTTTTAATACTCAACAATCAATTGAACTCAATTACGATAATAATAACTAAAACACATGACATACTTATCAATTAAACATGCTATTAAATCAGTAAAAATTAATATTTCAATCTCACTCATTTGCTATTTTTGACAAAACACAATGTGTTTATTAAAGCTTAAACTAATGGTTCATTACAAGCAAAGATGGATAGTGGCTAGCAGTGGAATTCAGGACGCGCGTTTCTTCCCATTTGGGACTCGTCAGCTGGATGTACCTGCATCTCAGAGTTGATGTTCACTATGGGACTCGAACCCAGTACCTTCAGGACTCAGTAGCTGAATGGATAACGCGATGGCGTTTGAAGCGAAAGGTACTGGCTTCGAGTCCCAGAGTGGACATCGACTCTGAGATGCAGGTGCATCTAGCTGACGAGTCCCAAATATGACGAAACGCGCGTTCTGGATTCTACTGCTAGTCACTATCTATCTTTGCTTACAATGCTTGTGAAATAAGGCTATATCGAGGCAGTCCGCACAAGAAGCACATATTCCAATAAGACTGATCAATCGCAGTTCTAAATAACAGTGAGAAGATACAAGTAAACAACACCAAATGAATTTATAAGTTTGCTCTAGGTCGGAACTGGTTGATCATACGTTGCTCACATTCAAGCCACTTCAGTCGATGTATATTTACAATATTATCAGCTGACTCTATCTCTTTCCTTAGAATACCGCTTCTAACATTGAAATTGCTCACTCGATTCTTCCACGATACATGAATGATACTTCGAAGAAAGATATAATAAAAACTAGGGTTTCCAATCATCGAATAATTTAATGTGAACTGCAGACTAGTTATGGTAGTACTAGCTCTGATTTGAAAAATCTGTGACATTCTTATGACCGACCTTTCATAACTTTATGTGTGAACTGCATCAGATCGACTACAAACAAATATTCATATACTAAACGACCATAAGACTGAAAATATTAGGAATATACGTTTTTCGAGCATATTTTAAGACACTGTGTTGCAAGAAATTTTCATTGTAACTATAGAATAATGTTTGATATCACAAACTATTCTTAATTACACAACCAATGGAAACCAAGGAACATTGGATAACTTTTTTGTCATAGTATGGAAATTATGAGGTCACTATAATTCCACCCAATTGTTTTTACATCTAACTTAAATCAATCCAGAATATTGTGTAACTTTCTTCTAATTCCGTTGGTAAGTAGTTGCCTTATACTCGGCATGGCTGATCTCCAGTGGCCATGGTTTCTCACTAGGAAGGTTAAGCACTCACAGTGAGACAGAAGGTCTTAGGTTTAACTTCCAAGTAGGATCTCGAATGCTTAAATCTTAAGCATCATACACCAAGACGGAACGGATGTCTAGTGCATCTTAGTTTTCAATGGTTGCTTTAATAAGGTCAAGTTTTACAAATTATAGAGATATAAAATGTGTGTTCATATTAGACTAAAATACTTTAAGTTGGATCACAAATTACAAATGCTGGTTTCCATTAATTACAAACGGAATTCATGTTAAACATATACAGTAATGTAGTCGAAATCTTATTAAACTTTAAAAGGAAACAAAAACTCACTTGACTTGAAAAAATATTGTTTTCTTTTCGTATCTATTATTTAGTTATTGTTATCAATAATTAAATAATAAAACTTTCAAGGTCACTGTTAATAAACTCCATATTCTGATTGGTAAATCTAGTCATAAGATTAAATGATAATTGAATATTGACAGTTTAATAACATGACGTACAGTAATATATATAACTAGTCATTGAAGCATTGTAAGGCATGTCGCCATTGCTAACAGTAATGAGTTTGATTGTCGTGTAAACGGAATGGGTCAACCTTGCCCTGTTCACATTGTACGTAATGGATTTACGCAATCACTGATCGTAATAATTATACATGTGATGTTAATGTGTGCTTGGTACCTGTGTGGTTGTGCAACAGGATTGAGCTGTACTATTCAGATTTTAGCTTTGAAGCCTATATAGTGGCTGGTTCTCTTGTGGGGCGGGATTGAGCTGTACTGCTCGGGTTATCATGTAAATGTCTGGATGGTGTCTGGTTCTCCTGAAAACCAATGCAAAATTACCCTGACCCACAAGGGGTATATATATATATGAAAATACTGAAATCTCCACAAAACTGCTTTTGAGAAATAACTTTGTTTAGTTTTCAGAACGTTTAAAATTATTAGATATCGTTTTATTGATCGTTGAGTAAAATTGGACAGGGTAAACAAACATCATATCTTTACTTTTTTTTATGTAAGTCGCACGTAATGTACAAATCAGTGAGTCGTTATTTAGAGTTTTGTTCTCTCAACTTAAAGAACAAAACTCCATCAAAATCATCCACCTGAACTATAAATCTTCTCAACCAATGAGTGGTTATTTCAATTTATTTGATACATATGTTACATTCATGAAGAAGTTATTTTATCAGTTATTCACTAAATATAAATCAAACTGGTGAAGTAAGACTGTTAAAAGGGATTTGAATAAAAAATAAAGAGAATTTAGCGAAGAAATTATTCATTTACTTAAGCTTTACATTCGTATTTATAGTTATATGGAAAATATATGTCTATAGAAGGATAGAAAAGATTATATTATAAATTTATTCTAGATTCTTATTATCAGAAGAGGTTACACAATAATCAAAGGGTAAGAGAAGAATTTAAGAATGAAAATAATTTATGAGTTTGAATTATGAAAGATAATTGTCCAATTGACAAATAAAGATTTCCATAAATAGCTTTTTTATATCATTGTCTTATCATTCCATTGCATTAACTCTTAGATGATTCTGTTAATAAAGAGTTTGTAGACGAGGATAAGTATCTATATAACTATTTATGAATACAATAAAAATCTAGGAAGGTACAATTTAATGTGAATATATTCATATTTAGATAAATGAAGGTACACAAAGACATTTCTACAAAATTAAGATAGAAATTAATAACGTACTTTGAATAACTTTGATTAACTTTCTACGACCAAAATACATTAATATATCTTTCATTATTTATGTTGTAAAATATTTTTGATTTGAACAAAATTTCAATTGATTAGTTGAAAGGTATCTTTAAAACCATAAGATCAATTTATTACAACCAGGTCTGTTGTGAGATATCAACTCACTGAAGACAATTGGTAAATGGTTGCTCGATTTCGTGGATTGGTTGAAGTTAGACATTAACATCATGGGATGCTGGCTCAGTGGTCTAGAGGTTAAGTGCTCTGGCAAGAGACTGTAGGTCCTAGGTTCGAATCTCGTGAGGCGAGGTCGTGGATGCGCACTACTGAGGAGTCCCATAATAGGACGAAACAGCCGTCCAGTGCTTCCAGGTTTTCCTTAGTAGTCTAGTTTCAATTAACTCACTCTTTCAACTATGAAAATATTGAAATCTCTACAAAGCCCCTTCTGATAATATCAAATATATTTTTAAGTAAATAAGATGAAAAGTAGAAAAGAGCTCAATTAAATTTATACAATTTTATACATAATGTAAGATATAAATCATACAGGGGTAATTTTTAATGTAAGAGAATGTACAGATATATATTATCCGTAATGATTGTTAAGACATTACAAAGGTTCTCTTTTTCATGTTAATTTTTTTTTATTTTTTTATTTTTGTTTAACTGAGTATTTCACATAAAAATGAAACTCTGAAATTGTTTTTTTTCCTGTAAGAATTACCAAAAATAGTATACTTGACTAAAATATAAACAATTTTGATTGTACTGAAAATTAAAAGTTTGATGAAAATAAATTTTATGGTTGAAATCATGAGTCAATTGAAGCTAGACTACCATGGAAAACTTGGAAGTACTGAACGGCCGTTTCGTCCTATTGTGGGACTACTCAGTAGTGCGCATCCATAATGTTGGATCTTAAATTGACATCGTTCCTTCATTTTGCTTCCTCTAGAATTTTGCGACTTACTTTTCCTCCAAATATTGCTACTTGTTGATGGTGATGGTGGCTTACTAGATGTAACAAATATCACAACCAGTTCCACTAATCAAGTTATGTAGCCACATCGACCAATTAGCCATCCCAAACCGAAACTATAAGTTTAAACTGAAGACTTCTTACTTAATAGATTCACTATTAATGAACAATACTCAGGGTACATTTATGATAAAATACTAAAAACTTACGCATAGCATTTAAATGAAATTCTGTTGCTTAGTAAACCACGTCGGATGCGAAAGAAGTACCACCAATGAAAATGGATATTAGTCACCAAATATCATGAACTAGCTTAAATTAGAAATGTGCATCACTGGATGCAACTCACTAGTCCGAAAAGTAAGAACTCATCGCCAGATTCGAATGCCTTGATTTCGATTCCCGGTGGGGTCATGCATGCCTATTTTTAAGCAGTCTTATGCTAGAATAAGATGGCTGTTCAGTACCGCCTGGTTTTCAATGATTGTGTAAAACCGGTCAGTCTGTGATGTAAAACGGCGAGATTATATTACAGTTGATCAAAAAAAATAAAACCTACTTTACTTGTACACCAATTAAAACTCAAAATCGATTTAAAAATTTGAATATTTTACATAAATTCAATCATCAAAAGTCGAGTGACTATCTCCTCTAGAACACACATATCATCCAGTAAATTTTTTATCATACAAAATAAATTAACGACCATGAAGTCTTTTATTTAGAACAGTTGATTGAATCATACCTTTATATGCTGACTACTTGTCTTGATTAAATATTCCTATCTATGCCTACTTCACTAAATTTAATCATCTCCATAAATAGGATAATTTTCTAATAAACCTGAGGGTCCTGGGTTTGATTTGTTAAAGAGGATATGAGTACTCACTGTAGAAGAGTCACATATCAGGATGAAACAGATGTTTAGCCTTTTCTGGTTTATATTATTGTTCAAACAGAGATGAGTCAATTACATATGTAACCGAATAATCAGACCAACCTTGATGAAACCTCGTCAACTAAATTTCCTGATATCATGAAAGCTATAGATATTAACTGCAGAAATCTAAATGTATATAATATCAAGAGTAGAAATGAAAGATCATTGGTTGTTTCCTCATCTTTACATTCACATATTTAATTAACTGTTCATCATCTCATAATACAAACCAATAATTTTATATTTCAATTCTAGTTCAAGTATTAAACACCTATTAATTCATTCAGTTGCTTATTGATTTCGTCTTTGTGAATCTATACGATCAGAGATTGAGATATCATTTCATAAGCTGATAATCTAAAACAATTACTTTCGACAAGTTAATATTTGTTTCTGGTTTACAATTGGTGTTGAATGACTGATAGTTCATGTATCATGTCAATGCCTATTATTTACTTACTTACTTACGCCTGTTACTCCCAATGGAGCATAGGCCACTGATCAGCATTCTCCAACCCACTCTGTCCTGGGCCCTCCTTTCTAGTTCTATTCTGTTTTTGTTCATTCTTCTCATGTTTGTCTCCATTTCTCAGCGCAATGTATTCTTTGGTCTTCCTCTTCTTCTTTGATCTTGAGGATTCTAAGTACGGGCTTGCCTTGTGACGTAGTTGGGTGATTTCCTCAATGTGTGTCCTATCCACTTCCAGCACTTCTTCCTGATTTCTTCCTCCACTGGAATCTGGTTTGTTGTCTCCAACAGTAGCTTGTTCCTGATAGTGTTTGGCCAACGGATCCTATTATGCCTATTATTTACAGTTCGTTTTATTCACCTTCATGTAATAAAACTAACAATATGTTTTTATCATATCTGTTGTTAACTTGATAATATTTCAACAATACAATTATTATTGTTATAACCAATTATTAATAGTATTATCGATTTCCTAAAATTACATAATACCAGTTGCAATAACTTGCATTAACTGATACATGTGTTCATTGTGTAGTGCACTCGTATCACATAGTTTACAAAACGGACTGTCCTCACTTAGATTACAAATGAAAACCGATCAGCGCTTAATATTTAAAACAACTTTGAGATATGGAAGTCTTGGGTTCAATTCCAGGTGTAGTCCTGGATGCTCACTACTGAACATCCAAATACTAGTACGAAACAGATATAAGGTAATTTCTCATTTTCATTAGTTGTTTAGTTAAGGTTAGTTAGTAATATAAGCTATGAAACTCAACGTTCTCCTTAAATCCCTTACACTTGTATCCACAGTTGTCAAGATACATTTATTATTCTGCGAAAAATTCTTTAAATGATAAAAGAGTATCTCAAGATTTCTGTTACTCAGTTAACATATGAGAAGCTTCTAAGGAAATCTAGAAGCCAGTTCATTATGTCGTTCATTTACGATCCCAATCGTTATGCGGTCAAAATAATTACCAATTTTAGTATCAATTCTAAGAAATTTTAGGACGAAAATTTCTATTGTAAACATATGAATGACCTTCTATTTCACTTAAAATTATCTTAGAAGTAAAGCTTCATTTACATTGTAACCCTTGTGGTTTTGTTCAAAATTTAAACGTCAATGATTGTAAGAGGCTAGAATTAGTTTGGGAAGACAATATCTCGGATTTCCATTGTATGGAACTTGTTAGATATCAATGTCAACTATAAAAAACTCACTATTATTTTAAGCACTTAACTTTAAATAAATTTTTGATCAGTTAAAATATCGATTGCGATCATTTTTCATACATTTTCATATCAAACATTAAATGGTGTACAATAATATTCGTGGATTTATAACCATATAATCCACGACGTAGATTGTATCGCGCACTTTGTAGAATAGGTGGATTCTGACCAACACTGGGATCCGAGACTGCTCTTTATTCTTAGGGCTAGTATTTTGGATGTACTTGCGTTACAATGTTTATATTTACATCTGGACTCGAACCCAGTACCTTTCATCCTAGACTTAAGAACGTTACTTACTGAGTTTAATTATCCACTAATTTATTCAATCTTTGTATCGTTATTAGTAAGAGTCTAAATTGTCTCGTTGATATTATGGACTGAAATTTGATCATCTTAATGCTTGAAGAGTTAGGAGTCTGAGTCTCAAACGTGCTTGCATTGTTATTCGAGGCAATAAATGTAAGACAAATCAATATAAATATCATTGCATTGTCATATAGTTATGATCCATTTTTGATTTTACACAAATCTATACACGTACTTCTCATTGTATTCCACTTGTATAAATTGGCATAAACGATTTTTTTGATGACTTCTGAATGGAAAAAGATTGTTTTGTAGTTAGTCTAAGCAAACTCAGTTACTCTTACTACTACCCGTTATTAGGTAGCAATTATCAGTCTACTAAATTGAAACGATTTTTAATGACTAATTTGATCATTCACTCAGAATCAGTCGTGGATGAGCACTGCTAAGAAATCACATACTTGTAAGAAACGGCTATCCAGTGCTTCCAAGATTTCAACGTTGATCTAACATTTATAGGTTCATGGTCTAAATGAAGCTTAACAATTAACCCCATATATGCTTCTAAGTTGACTATATTTTCTTCATATTGGTCATCAGTAGTACCCAAAATGCGTATTTCATCCTTTTCAGGACTGACTAAGTGGATTTAATGTATACCAAACAATGAGATGTTAATATGTTCAACTAATGAATCCCAAACCGAAACGAGAATACACATACTAATTCAATAGTAATTAATATAAAAAAGTATAATCACCTTAAAATTGCAATTAATATGCAAGTATTTATTCAACACAAATTTATCACCTTACTCCTAAATTCAACAACAGGAAGATATTGAATCTGTGAAGATTTTATCATTGAGTAAGCTACTTCAATGTCAAAATAGCCAAAAGATTATGATACTATATTCATTCATACTATTCTTCTCTTTTACAAACCTCATTCTACCAGGAACAATAGTCTCAAAAGAATAATGAATGAAGGAAGTATGGTACAGTTCAACGTTCAGTTTATAGGAAAGATACATAGAATAGGATTTATCCCAATTCCAATGGCTTTTGTCCAATCAATTACAAAAAGCCACTATTTCACAGAACAGAAAGAATATGTACTGCCGATACACTAGAAGAGGAACTACTGAATGTGGAAAGTTGTTTAAAGAACGACGCATGTCCATTGAAATTTATTGAGAAATATGCAAAACGTGAAGATAAAAAAACACAGAGAAACTACAATTAACCAAAAGCCTATTTTTATCCAACTTGAATTCAAAGGTGATGATGTCACAGGTTTAATCAGTATGAAACTAAAAACTGCATTCACAAGAATTTATCTTGTAGCTAAACTGATTGTCCTGTCCAAAACGACATATTCTTCAACACAATCAAAGATCGATAGATGTACCTTTCGTGTTACCACTAACTGTGTACACAAATTTAAATGTATCTACCAAAGCAGTTATATTGATAGAACAGAAAAAGTAGCCTACGTCCGATTTAAAGAATATATCCCAAAAAGTCTAGGGTCATATGGACTAAAAGCATTTAGCAGTGTCATTTCAAGACATCTTGGTACAGCATATCGAGTGAAGTCTTTCAAGGTGGTTAATGACCGATCGAACTCCAATCTTCTGAAATTTGCCGAAGCTATAGGAATCAAACGTCTAAAATCAGATTTATGTGTTCAGATCTATGCCCCCAAATGCCCTGGTACGGCCGCGAGTGGGGAGAGTCCACTCTCCCTCTCCAAATGCTCACACCACATGGCCACGCGAATATATAGCCTCTACCAGGGAAGTCCTATTCATTACCTTCTCGTGGCGGGGGTGTTGTTCACGAAATTGAGAGGACGTAAAGCGAATGTCCGGCGCTTTAACCGGGTTGATGGACAAGGCGAGTCCACCTAGGGGAGTTGGAAAACCCTCATTCCAAACCAGTGGTGCACATGGGCTCCAGTATCCTGAAGGAACAAATGGCGTACGAATCAATCGTTGATCACCGGTTACCATGGGACTGCATCTCCTCACGATGCTCCACTGCCTTGTGGATCAGATCTTTCGGTCAAAGGCTCCAGGTGTGGGCCCCTAAGAAAACCACCTGCTTCAGTTTGCGCACCTGAGCAGTATCACAGACCTCACACAAATCGAATGAGATTTGTATGGCGCATATATATCTGGTGCTTCTTTGTACCAATATTTGTGTTTAAATAAATAAAATAAATGTGTTCAAAAAGAAGCAGTAGTAAATTTTTCT